ACATTTTTTATTAATACCATCATCACCCAACATCTTTAATTTATTAGTTATAACCCACTTTGTTGTTGAATGCTTTGATTTTGAAATGTTTGCGATTTTAAATCCGTTGGGTTGGTAATAAGCATAAACGGAATATAATCGCTTATAAATTATTTTTTGTCACTCCATAACGAACTATTTTCATCAGCAACATTTTCCCCCAACATTTTTATTTTTCAAGTTGTAACTCAAAACCTTCAAATTAAACATTTTTTCAATCCATCACCTCACTAAAAATTCTTAACAATTGGAAACAAATTATTTATGGATTATGTTTTAATACTTCATTACGAACATTTTTTATTAATATCATCATCACCCAACATCTTTAATTTTTTAGTTATCTCATTTTGTTGTTGAATGCTTTGATGTTAAAATGTTTGCGATTTTAAATCCGTTGGGTTGGTAATAAGCATAAACGGAATATAATCGCTTATAAATTATTTTTTGTCACTCCATAACAAACTATTTTCATCGGCAAAATTTTCCCCAACATTTTTATTTTTCAAGTTGTAACCCAAAACCTTCAAATTAAACATTTTTTGAATCCATCACCTCTGACTAAAAATTCATAATAATTGGAAACAAATTGTTTATGGATTATGTTTTAATACTTTATTACGAACATTTTTTATTAGTATCATCATCACCCAACATCTTTTATTTATTAGTTATAACCCATTTTGTTGTTGAATGCTTTGATTTAGAAATGTTTGCGATCTTAAATCCGTTGGGTTGGTAATAAACATAAACGGAGTATAATCGCTTATAAATTATTTTTTGTCACTCCATAACAAACTATTTTCATCCACAACATTTTCCCCCAACATTTTTATTTTTCAAGTTGTAACCCAAAACCTTCAAATTAAACATTTTTTGAATCCATCAAGAAATGAAAATATACAGCAATCTAATAAAAACTAGAACTAACATTGGCACTAGAACTATCACTAGACCTAGAATTAGAATTTTTTTAGAATGTTCAATAAAATTTGTTATAAACACATTTCACAAATATTAATATTGATTAGAATTGTTATACTATTGCCTATCAACAACATCGAATGTTTTTTATTATTTAAATATTAAGCTAACCCACAAATTTGGAATTAGATATTTAAAATGCGCGGACTGATAGTTTGTGCGTGTATTCAAAGGTTAAATTTATTCTATAAAAAATCGAATTAAATCACCCCCATTTTTTCTTGTTTTTTTACAAATTTGCTTCTTTTTATGCTTTACACATATCAAATTTTATTAATTTTTTTTATGTATTTGTCAAGCACAAAACATTTTTATGCAAAATTTTCATGCATACACTTCCTTCTTGTCGTAACTTGTACACTGCACGTAATTTTTTAATTAAAAAAATGTATCCTTTTGTTTGCTTTCCTCCACTTCTTCATCGCACTTGATCAGCCGTGGATCTCAGCATGATATTCGTGAAACTTCACCAGATAGCTACAATTCACTGGGCAGAAAGCAAAGGTATGTGTTTCTCAAAACGAGCACCATCACAATTATTTTGTTTAAATTAAGTTTGCATGAATGATTTCTTGGCATGTAAAGTGTTTCTTGTTGTTAGTAAAATTTGTGTATTTAATTTGTGTTGATTGACATTTTTAATGCGTTGTTTGTTGTGATTACGAGTTATATCATAATCGGATTCAGACAACGTGTTAATTTTTTAATATTGGTGTTGCATGGTAAATGTTTTTTGTGCTTCATTCTAGCTTCAAAGGATCACAAAATTTGTACACTGGAGCTAAAGGAAGGTTAGAAAAGAGTATTTTTCTTTTAATTTATTATTTTTTTCTGCTAACCACACTCACATTAGCTTAAGTGTTTTTTATTTACTAAAAACTTTTTTCTAACACTAGTAAATAATTTGTTACATTGATCACTTCTTGTTTTTGTTATGTTTAGCTTTTATTTGTATTCATTTCGACAAATTTTAGTTTTTTTTGATTTGAGAATGTGTTGCATGTGTTAATTTTATTTTAACAGCCGTACGAGTCCGGGTAGAGAAATCAGTCCAGATCCTCAAGTACCTCATATTGGACCAAGATTCCCACCAACAGGAAGGTTAGATTTAAAACTTTTTATTTTTTATGCAAAAAAAAGTGAAAGTGTTGTAAACTTACAAATACTAAATTTTGTAAATTTGCAATCTTTTCGATTCCTTCTCGATCTTTTTTACAACCTCTTAAAACTATCTGCACTTTGCTGAAGCTTTTAACAAAATATTTAAATGGAGGTAAGTTGCTCTTAATCACCGTGCGATAACTATTTCTAACATAAATGTTTCGAAATGCATGCGTTTGTTGTGTTTTACTAATAATTATTAATAATTTCACTCATTTCTTTTTAACACAGTGAGGTCGATAAATGCTTAATTTAAAATACAGTGTCTGTCAAAAACTCAACACCTTCTTTTTTTGGATTCATTGCATCTACGTTTTTGCAATTTTGTTTATATGGGATATTTAAAAAATTTCGGTTGGCCGGAAATACACCACAAAATCGTTATTTTAAATGGAATGCTACGGCTTTTACTACATATTCAAATTTTATATACAAAAATACGTTAACTTTAATGGCATATAACGTCAAATTGTGATACGGCAGCCCANAACTTTTTGTCTTTAGACTCACTTCAATAATTTGAATCCTCCGTTTTTTGGACTATTAATATATCACTACACATAAATCGTGCAAAACAAAATCACATCATCTTCTACATCACTTATTTCACAATTTTTGTCATATTTATCACCTTCCACCCGTTGTGGATCTTTTGATTAATTAAGTCGACGTCGCTTGCAGCAGAGATTCAGTGATTAATATTATATCAACCTGAAAGTGGTCTTATATTGTGGTGTAGTTGTATAATCTTTTAATTAATTAAACCGAGGTCGTTTATGACCGAGGTTCAGTGATTAATATTATATCAACCTGAAAGTGGTCTTATATTGTGGTGTAGTTGTATGATCTTTTGATTAATTAAACCGAGGTGGTTTGTGGCCGAGGTTCAGTGATTAATATTATATCAACCTTAAAGCTGCAAACGGAATCCACTTTATCAAGTTAAGTTGGTTATGTTGCAAATCTTGTGAGTAAGTAAGCCGAGGTTCATTAATTAAGATTGTCTCAATCTGAATCTGGTCATCATATTGTAATATTGTGCCTCGGCTTTAACAGATTAAATTGTAGACTAATTACG